CAAACAACAGTAAAAAAAATAACTCATTTAAAAACTGGGCAAAGGAACTGAACAGGCACTTCACAAAGGAAAATATACAAATGGCCAATAGACACACAAAAAAATGCTCAACATCATTAAGCATCAGGGAAATGCAAATCAAAACCACACTGAGATATCATCTCACCCCAGTTAGACTGGCCATTATCAAAAAGACAGAGAAGGGCTGGCCTGGTGGTGCACTCGGTAGAGTGCGGCGCTTGGGAGCGCAGCGGCGCTCTTGCCGAGGGTTCGGATCCCATATAGAGACCGGTCTGCTCACTGGTTGAGCGTGGTGCGGGCTCCTTGTATATTAGTGCAGCCATTATAGAAAACAGTATGGAAGTTCCTCAAACAACTACAGATAGAACTGCCATAAAATCCAGCAATCCCACTACTGGATGTATACCCAAAGGAATGGAAATCATCATGTCAAAGGGATACCTGCACTCCCATGTTTACCATAGCTCCATTTACAACAGTTAAGAGTTGGAACCAACCTAAATGTCCATCAACAGATAACTGAATAAGGAAAATGTGGTATGTATACGCAATGGAATACTACTCTGCAATAAAAAGGAATGAAATTCTGCCACTCACAGCAACATGGATGAACTCAGAGAAAATTATGTTAAGTGAAATAATATGGAAAGAGAAATACAGCATGTCTTCACTAATAATTGGGAGCTGAAAAAGTAAATAAGCGAAACAAGAAAAAAAATACAACAATCACAATAATTCCATTAAACTTTCAAAAGGAGAGAACAAAACTGAGACCACAAGAGCTGAGAAAGGGGGAGTGGGAGGGGGGGTTCAGGGAGAAAGTGGTAAAGGGCCACAGAAAAATGTTTACATTGTGTAATGACTGAAAAAAAAAAAATCATTCCAAAAAGAAAAAATGTAATTTCTACCAAAATCCTGGCAAGATATTTTGTAGATTAAAAACAGTTTATTCTAAAATTTATATGGAAAGGCACAGGCCCTACAATAGCTATAACGATGTTGACAAAAATAAAGTGAGAGGAATCACTCTACCAGATATAAGGCTTGCTACATGGTACAATAATTGTGATAGTGTGGTAATGGTGAAGAGACAGACACAAACATCAATGCAGCATAACACAGAACACAGAAAATAGACCCACCCAAATATGCTTAACTGCTTTTTAGCAAGAGTGCAAAAGTAATTCAATGGAGAAAGGATAACAAATAGTGCTAGAGCAATGAGAGATCCATAGGCAAAAAAATAAAAAATAAAAAAAACAAGCAAACAAAAAACCCTCAAAATGGGCCATGAACTTTAATGCAAAACATGAAAGTATAAAATTTTTAGAAAAAATATAGGACAAAATCTTTGGGATCTAGCACTAAGCAACGAGATTTTAGACTTGAAAGCACAATTTATAAGAAGAAAGATTGAAAAACTACTTCTCAGCACAATTAAAAATTTTGCTCTGCAAATGACCATGTTAAGAGGATGAGAGACAAGCTACAGACTAGAAGAAAATATTTACAAACCACATACATGAAAAAGGAGTGGTATCCAGAATATACAGAATTCTCTCAAAACTAAACAATTAAAAAAAAAGCCAAACAATCCTATTAGAAAATGGAAAAAAAAAACACGAACAGACATTTCACCAAAGATGATACAGAGACAGCAGATAAATACATAAAAGGATATTCAACATTATTAGCCAACAGGCAAATGCAAACTAAAACCACAATTAGATACCATAACACATCTACGAGAACTTCTAAATTAAAAAACAAAACCAAAAAAAGCCAAAAAAACCTGGCCTTACCAAATGCTGGTGAGGATGTGGAGCAACTGAAACACAAAACTACAATGAGATATCACTACACACCTACCAAAATGGATAAAATAAAAAACACTGAATGCTGGCCAGGATGCAGCGAAAACGGATAGATCATTCATACATTGCTAGGGGGAATGTAAAATAATATAGTCACTTTGAGAAGCAGTTTGGCAGTTTCTTTCAAATATTAAAGATGCAACTACCATATGACCCAGCAATTGCACTCTCATGTTCACAGAAAAACTCATATGCAATGTTCATAGCCAAAAGCAGGAAACAACCCAGATGTACATTAATGGGTATATGGTTAACAGACTGTGGTACACACATCCTAAGGAATACAACTCAGCAATAAAAAGAAAAAACTATTGATACATACAACAACTTTGATAAATCTTCAGAGAATTACACTGAGTAAAAAAAGTCAATCCCAAAAGGTTACAAACTGTATGTGCTATTTATATAACATTCTTGAAATGACAAAATCATAGAAATGGAGACCAGTTTAGTGGTTGCCAGGGGTTAAAGAGAGGTTGAGATCAGAAAGGGTTAAGGAGAGGCTGAGATCAGTGGCTACAAAAGGGCAAGATGAAGGATCCTCGTGATATGGAAATGTTACATATCTTAACTGTATCAATGTCAGTTTCCTGGTTATGATATTGTGTTCTAGTCTATAAGAGGTTCGACTGGAAGAAACTGCATAAAGGATTTATGGTATCTCTCTGTATTTATTTCTTACAACTCCATGTGCATCTACAGTTATCTCAAAAAAAAAAAAAGTTTTATTAAAAAAATGGGATGAGGGCCGAGCCCGTGGCGCACTTGGGAGAGCGCTCCCGCCGTGGGTTTGGATCCTATATAGGGATGACCGGTTGTGCTCACAGCGCTCACTGGGCGGTGCGGACGGTCTCAAAAAGGACAAAAAAAAAAAAGGGATGAAAGGCAAAAGTTAACCTTAACAAGGAAAAGACACTTTTGGGGAAGAAAAAGAAAAAGAATGGACTGACCAAGGCAAAGAACCCAAGAGATGAAGGATCTTCTAAGCTCACATTCAATGCTAACTAGGTTGGGAGAGATAGGAGCTATGAAAGAGGCTCAGATGGGAGAATCAGGAGCTTTAAAGGAATAAAAATCTTGGAATATTAGTTAAAGTCTGTGGGGAGCATGGTTAAGAATCAACAACAAAACAGCATCCTCTACTTGTCTTACTGCATCTGAAGCAGTACTTTGCTCATTCACTACAGATGTTGTTAATTCCATTTTATCTATGAAGTTGCAAAGTAGTCACTAAAACTAAAAACTTTTCTAAAACTAGTTATTTTATATCACCACAATTTGCATGTCACTATGAAATTCAAAACAGAACTTTATTTATAGAATTATAATCCTAACAAGAGCAAAAATTAATATTATTATCCCTATCTTAATCGAAAGGATAGAGATTAACAGTGGGTCCAAATAGAAAATATCTTAAAGTCACACAAACATTTGTGATAAAAGTAGAATTAGAATTCCAGATTCTCAACCAAGAAAGTGATTACTGCAATATTCAAAAGAATAAGGGTACCTTCATGAATTGGGGACTTCCATAACTGGCTAATATAACAAGCAATGCTTATTTGTTTTTATTAACATTTTTAATCTCAGGAAAGTCCAAGGAGCTTGAATTTGCCTAAATACCTAAGTAAAGAAGTTACAAGCTTTCTGCACGTGAACTTCCCAAAGTTGCACCAGAATTCACTTTCAAATAATATTCTTAGATTAAATTCATTGTCAATGATGCCTAATAAAACTCTTGAATTACAATCAACATGTTCTACGCTCACTAAACCAGGTAAATGTATCAATTAATTAGTACTTAACTTTAATACAACAGATATTTCCTGAATGGTCATGTCCAGTCATTGTAGAGGTATCCAGGATACAACAGTGGAGAAAATGCAGCTCCTGCTCTTGTCTAGTAAACAGGCAACTACAGTAAGGTCTAAGGATGCTAAGATGCAGATATATATAAGGAGTCATAGCTTCAGGAGCATGAGAAGTCACCTAAACCAGTATGAAGACAATCAGACAATCAAGGGGAAGTGATGTGTAAACAAAGATCTTAAGGATAAGCAGGCATCAACCAGTTGAGAAGTGGAAAGGGGAAAATAGAACAGATTGGCACAAATACTTACAGCCAATTCACTTCAAAAAATACACTAAAATGATAATAAGGAAAGAATCCCCAAGAGAATGAAGAGAAAACTTATAGGAGTAAAATCTGATAACCAAAAAACAAGTGCTGGATGACTTTGCAGATCAGAGAAAGATAAAATCTAAGCTAGCCTAGAAAGAGGCTGCCTGGTGCCAATAAAACCAAGGGAAACTCATGAAACAGAGGTGCTGGTTACCTCCAAAAGTGGATGTGTGGATAAGTTTTACAATTAGGAAGTTCATGGTTAAAACTGCGTAAGAAGCAAATTAGAATTCCCAGATTTCTTCCCCTTCTCACAAAGAAAGACTTCTCTATACTTTACAGATACTGTACTCACTGTACTATACAAGTAAAATTGTGCTTCACACACACACACACACACCCATATGCATACTTACAGTTGAAGACTTACGAATGAAATGGCTCTACCAGATTCCCCTACAGTGAATGAGCTCCCAATCAGCTGTTTAAGCAAGATGACCACTGTAAATCATTTTAAATCTAATTTGACTTTTAAAAATATGTATGTTGATAAAAATTAAAATAAAAAAGACAATGGCAGGGGGCTGGCCCCGTGGCTCACTCGGGAGAGTGCGGTGCTGATAATACCAAGGCCACGGGTTCGGATTCCATATAGGGATGGCCGGTTCGCTCACTGGCTGAGTGTGGTGCAATGACACCAAGTCAAGGGTCATGATCCCCTTACCGGTCATCTTTAAAAAAAAAAAAAAAAAAAAAAAAAAAATACGAATCTTCCCATTAACACTTTGAAGGGCACTCATAGTGCAGTACTCTACTGAAGAAAAAAAAGTGAAGAAGGGGTAAGCAGAGAATTTTATTTTTATCATTTAAAAATCATCTTAATATGTATGATGATCAAAAACAGAATTTTAAAACAAATCATTTTCAGTCCTAATAAAAATACATGCCCAAATCAGGAACCTAAAAAGTAAAAAGTACTCAACCTGTATATCCATTAACATAGATGGCAACTCCACTAAAAATTGTAGATGAAGTTCCATCCTTCTGCATAGCAGCATCTGATCGAAACTGTTCCTCCAATTTCTGGACCTTGGCAGCCATATACCCACCCTAGAATTAAAGAAAAAATAAACAATCACAAAAGTTACATTTTCTTCCTCTCCCCCTTTTTAAAAAGAAATTTGTATTTTTTTTTAAAATTAATTAAAGGACCCTATTCTATGCTAGTGACCAAGGTATAATGATGACCTCCCTAACCACAAAGCAAGGCAATAAAACAGGTAGGTCAAGGAAGACTTTTCCCTTTGTCAACTCAATTTTTAGTGATTTTACTACATTATTATAATGATAAAAGTTACTTTTAAAGAGGGAAAAGGTAAGTCAATAATAATAGTTTTGATAACACAAAATACTGTTCTTTAGTACATAATTGAACAAGTTATACTAAAGTTTAAAACAATCAGAAATTTGACAAGTGGCCTAAGATCCTATTTTAGACTGACTCCTTCTATCTCCTAGACACTGGGAGCTTAAAATGAATTACTTTCAGGTAAAATGAAGCAATTCAACAAATCAGTATAGTCCTCCACGTATGCGGATAAGAAAAGACTGAATGATTCAGTGGCTAAATTCTGAATCTGATAAATCTATTTGACAGCTGTACTAACTTTTATTAGATAACACCAACATCAAAAGAATATAAAAAAAATTTTTTATTGTTAAACACTCTGACAAATCTATGAATGCAGCTCTACTTTTCCTGAACCTTTAAGTAATTAAACTTGACTGACTTGAATGATTAGGTCTTTACATTAAAGCTGTAAGTAGCTAGAAGTGGTACATACTTTTTCGCAAAATAGAAATGACTTCATGTTTATGTTGATTATTAAAATGTGACATACCCACTATAAAATGTTTTCTCCCCCCAGAAAATATAGGAAGTATAAAGAAATAAAATTGGCATGATCCCATTCATTAACATTTTGGGGTGTTATTTTCAAAGCTTATTTCTATGTCTCAGGAGCATAAAGGTTTTATAAAAATAGGATCATATAAAATATTCCTTTATAATACCCCATTTTATTCAAGGTTGTCTTTCTAGGTTAAGAAATATAAAGCTAAATAATGACTGCACAGTGTTCCACAATATAAAGATAATTTATTTGACCAATCTCCTACTGTTGGATATTTATGTGTTTTCCTGTTTTTCAGTATTATTAACAATGCTACTATAAAATCATTATAAGTAATTTTTTGTGTACTCATATACTTATTACCTTAGGATAAAATTTCTGAGTAAAGAAAGTTTAGAGGTTAAGTTTATAACATTATTTTCAATACGTTGTGAAAACTCAGAGCTGGTGTCTACAGTGATTTATAATTTATAAAATGCCTTAAACCACATTACAAACTAAAACGTGAATGAAAAATACCTAGACAGTTCAATATAATTAGTTTTATTCTTTAAAAACACACCCAATCTTCCCAGCCATCATTTTCAGCTCGTTTCCGCCATCCACCTCGTCTCATGGTGGAGCTTCTGTATTAGGGGGAAAAAACAAATGTCAATCTTATAACATAATATATTCCTAATTGGTATTTTATTTCGATTTCAAGAAAAATGAGAACTTAAATTCAAATGTTCAATTAATGAAAGTTAAAAGTATAATACGAAGTAAACTTTTTCCAAAGTGTGTCAATCTTTTGCTTTATAAGTGAAATTTGTTCCTAAAATACCCTCCCCACAGGTAAGTATCGTATAACTACTTTAAATTTCAATAGAAAAAAAAAATTTATATATTCCCGAGCACCAATCCTAACACCCACTTACAAAAAACATCACCAAATACAACTAACATGGCCACACTTACTTGTTACCATTAATTAGTGTAACTATCTAACAAAACATTTCCCTTCATGAACTGCCCTATAATATGTCTCTTAGACTGTCTTTGCTATTAATAGTGGACACTTAAGAGTGCACTCATAGTATAATTCACCTATTCTGCAAAAATCCCTAAAAGAAGTCAATTGAAACAATACATCATAGGAGACGCGATGCAGAAGGATCAACAGTAGTAACAAACTAGTAAATCTGGCATTCTCTTTAAGGCAACACTTAACCAACCGTACCATAAAACTGCCAAGATGACCAAACAATGGCTCATTTCGAGTATGAGCTGGCTTAGTATCCAGCAATATACAGTAAAATAATTCATAAGTCAAAGTAGGCACTAAATGGGGCCGGCCCAGTGGCGCGCTGCTGCAGTGCGCCGCTTGGGAGTGTGGCGGCGCTCCCGCCGAGGGTTCGGATCCCACATGCAGACCG